TGGGAAAAGTACGCGGTTAAGCAAACTTATACTACTTAATTACTCATCATAGCTATAGTTTGCTATAATTACCACTCGCGACTAACATTATACATTAATTACGTGGTCTGACTTCGAGTTTGTATAATTAGTCACGTTTGTATGCCAGAATATACAAATACATATGTATGTTATACAATTATCTAACCGATATACATATACAATTCACCTCTCTCCCACTCTCTGCCCTCTCTCGCTTGCCTCTCTCCTCCCTCTCCCAATCTCGCTTGCCATATACAAATACATATATATAATATACAATTATCTAACCGATATACATATACAATTCACCTCTCTCCCTCTCTTTGCCCTCTCTCTCACCTCTCTCCTCTCTCTCCCAGTCTCGCTCGCCTCTCTCCTCCCTATAACATGTAGTTACGAATTGTAATTATCAAACTATAGCTATGGAGAATAATTAGGCTATTTTTGAGTGGCTATATATGAAAGTTACTCATTCAAAATTGATATTGATTTGTTCTATATCAATTATCAGTGTATCAACTCGCTTTGTATTTGTTCGCTCTATATCAGTGCATGCCTATCTGCTCGCTTGGAGTTGTACTGCTTCGATTTTTATCAACATATCACTTCAACCTGTATTTGTTCGCTCTAATACATAGTAAATTAATACACTGAAGGAATCAATATGTTGTATTGCAATTTTTTAAAAGTCAATAATCTACAATAATATACAAATAAACCAAAGTCCATATGAAGCAAAAGAAGCAAATCGTAAAATTATGACTGAATGAATAAAATTTCTTTTGTCTACAGCTACATATGTTGAATTTGAATCCTGTGTACGAAAAAATCTAAATAGTAAACAATACTTTTTATGTTAATTGATCTTACGCAATACAAATTTAAATTAATCGAGATTTCAATATAAATACATCATAATCTTTTTTTATTTCATTTTTTCACCGGGCTTGGACCATGTCTCCCGAACAATCTCAGTACATATGGCGCAAGACGATTCCACATATCGAGGTCAAGGGAAAGATCATTTTTTTTTACCGGAAAAGATTGTTTTATCAGGTAATGGGTACACTATAAGCATTCCTTTGGTTATGTATTATGTATAAGCCTTCCAACAAACAGAAAGACTTGTATGCATCAGGTTCATAGGGGTAAATACATTCAAAAGGGAGAAAATTTAGCGGCTCATATTTCAAATAAAGATCGCCGCGTGAAAAACTCATTTTTTTGGGGGGTTGTCCCCACTGGTTTGCGAAAACAATGGGAGACTTGCTCCATAGAACCCCCAAGAGACTTTCGTCCCCAGTATTCTCTACAATTTACCATTGTTTTGAATATTGAGGTTGTAATTGTCCCGTGTGGATATAAAAAAAAAAAAACTTGAGATAGATACATATGTAGACAAAATAAATTCTCAGTTATCATATGTGACGTGTTGAGTCCTTAATTTATTATTGTGTTGCTTTCTTCCTAAAACTTTGACAAAGATATGTAGCCATTTTTGTCATTATATGTGTACATTACTGGACCCCTTTTGACATTTATGAACTATTTTCGATGTCATAAATATTTTGTTTTCATAGATAGAATATATTTTTCCTCGGTCTCTAGTTACTTATCCAATTTTCTTTTTTTAGTTGTCTTTAATTACTTGTTCATTTTGACAAATCAAAAAAGGACACATTTTTTTTTACCTATTATACTCTCAATTAATTATTTTGAGAAATATAAAACTTCTTGAAAATCTTAAGTTTTTAATTCATCAACTTCAAAATTAATAGGGATAAAATGATAAACTTACTATGTTAATTATTGTTTCCTTAATAGGTGTGTCAATTCAAAAGTGGATAAGTAATTAGAGACAAAGGGAGTAGATGATAGAACTCTTAGACGACCGTTTGGTAGAATGTATTAAAAAAATAACTTATCCTCCCAAAGGTACTCGTTTTCTCCCAAAAATAAAATAAAATTGCCTAAACATATGATTTTTCTAAATAAATACTTTTTGAAGAGAAAAAATGTTGGACCTCTCAAAAACACAATCAAACAGATTATAAGTTGTATAAATAGTTTATTTTTATTTTTATTTTTATACGATAAAAGAAATTATTTTCGATTTGACTAACTAGACAATCTTGTCCTAGTTTGTAAATTTTGCTCTTGTAGAAAAAGGTCAAGGCTAATTAAAAACCACATTAAAAGCACCTGCACTTCCATATTTATTTGTATTAATTGATTGTATGAAAATATTGAGCATTCATTGATTTGATCATGGTTCAAGATTTTCAAGATATTGGATTTCAAAAGCATCACATTGGTAAATGCATAATAAATTTGGGAGAAACATTTACTCTACTTTTATATTTGTCCATATTATTAAAAATATATTCCAAAGTGTATATATATATATATATATACGAGACACATAAATAGAGTGTATTACAAAAATTTAAAGAAAAATTACTGATAAATTTTTATTTTTTTTATTTATAATTTTTTTAACGGATGTGTAAAAAAATAAAATAAAATAATATGGACGGATGGAGTGCATGAGGTGGTATGTTTCGGGAATATTCATCTGCCCTTTTAATTTGAACTATGAGGAAATAGGAATAGATTAAAAAATAACGTTGAAAACCTTACCTTAAAAAATAAATCTCATAATCATTAATCTAAATTTAATCGAATTAAAATATAAATGTTGAATGGCAAGCGAAAATAGAAATAAAACGGTCACCATAAAATGTAAAATGTCATATTCTACCAAACACTTTTATTCTAATCATATCGTGCCTCCATCGCCGGAAAAAATAAAATTATTTAAAATAAAAAAAATACTCAAGTGGCCACTAAGAACTCAATAATTGATAAGAAATTAGATTCCCTCAATCATTCTATCTAAAGAAAAAAATAGTGATTCTAATGAATCTCTGCCCCTCTTTATCTTGTGGGTCATACCTTATATTTTTTTAATTTAGTATTCGATATTCAAATTGAAATTTAACTAATTTAAATTCACGCTACGTATGATCTTATTTAAGATAAAACACTTTTTATCAAAAAAATCTTCATACTCAAAACTCAAACTCAAACTCAAACTCAAACTTAAAATCTCTAATTAAGAGAAGAACAACCCTATCTGCTACGCCATATCCGAGATCATCAATTGTTTCACCAAAACTCTAATATTTTGGATGAGAAAATGAATATATTTTACTCCAAAAAAAAAATAAAAAAATAATGCGAATTTTACTTCTACTTCATAAAAATAAAAATATATTTTCTAAATCACTTGGTTTATATATATCAATCTACTTTGCTTCGTTTTTTCTTCAATATATATATATATATATATATATATATATATATATATTCTTAAAAGTAAGTTCTTCTGTTTCATTTGAATCTAGAACGTTATATATATAAATGTAATTGTAATTTTTGAAGAGTTTATACGAATTTGAAAACAGATGGAGTAACATATAATGAGTAAAAATATAAGTGATATCTATTAGTTCAATATATGTTCCAAATACGTTAGCACCTTTTCTTAGGTCTTATGATTATAAGAGTGATTTAATATCTTGGAGAATTACACATTCGTAAAATATAAAGAAATTATATTATTTTTTCTTTGTATATATATAAATACCATTTTCCTCCTCAAACCAGTGGCAACCCGAAATTTCATACTGAAGTTGAGGGTATTTTGGTCTTTTAAGAGCCCCGCAGTTGCACTTATCTCCACTATATCAACGGACGCCAAGCCAAATTCAAATGTAGCCGAATATTCCAAAAGAGAGATACAAATTAAATAATATTATTTCTTAATTTTCAAGAAAAAATCATTATTTTATTAGTATAATTTATATGAGGATTTAGATTATTGGCTTAATGATTATTATATTAAGATTAAGATAAGGTTGAAGTGCTAAGTTCAATTCATATGGTAACGTGAGTTTATTGTGCTCCATTGTCGATATTAATATTTTACGTCGAGAAGGAAAGTATTCTTAATTAAATACGATTATATCGTTTGAATATGGAATTTTTAATCAATGATAGAATGCATATCATAATTTTATTAATTCTTTAATTTTCTTGTTTGGAAAAAGAAAAATATATTGACCAGTTAAGATCTCACGTATAGAATATGAGAATGACGAAAATGAGAATGATGAAGTAGATATGTAGGCCTACTAGGGAAAATAAAAATTAAAAATGGAAATATTAGAAATAACTTGAGAATAGTTTTGTAGTGGATAAAATGATAAAAATGAGTTTGAGATGATTCGACAAACGAGAGGAGATGACACAAATGCCCCATAACGAGGTGTGGGAGGTTGACACTAGTTGAGTTAAAACGAGGTAAAGGTAGACATAGATGTATTGGGAGAGAGTTGAGTAGACATATATATATTGTATTTTTAGCTTAAGTCGGAAATCAACATAAAAAGTTACTAGTGGAGGATTGTATCACTTGCTTGCTGAATAAGCTTGGTGAAAGTTTGAAGCACCGTACATATTTCTCCTCTCATATCGTTTGTAACAATATTATTTTTGTAATTTTCTCGTCTTTCATTTTTTATTTCTATCAGTTGCCTCTTATGCTTCGATGACCACATTAATTGCCCCCGAATAATATGTAATATTTTTTTAATTATCGACTATGTCATTTTTATCTATGTATGCTCATTTTCCTTACTACTTTAATATACGTTACTTTAATCGACAACTTGAAAAAATAAATAAAAATTTTAGATATTTTTTACTATTTTAAGACTTCACTCGTAAGATTAGAGCTACGTTTTCTTAAGGTTAAAAAAAGGGAAAAAAAGACTCTACCTTGTTCTTATCTATTCTGATTATTGTAATTACTTCATTATTATTAGAGTGACTTAATATAATTTTGCTAGTATAGTATAAATACAGAGATATACTGTACATATACTTTATGAGTTCTTTCCCTCCAATCAATTCATGCTCTCTCTCTCCACCGCGTGTGACTCTGTGTTGTGTTTTGGACCATTTTTTTGGTTGTGTAATTTTTATTCTCTCTTCCCTAGTGTCCCGCCGGGAGAGAAGGAAGTGTAAGAGTAGACGAAAGCTATTCCTCTGCTTCTAAGAAACATTTTTTAAAAAATTTCTTCTTGTGCTTTCTGCTCCCACAATCTCTCTTTTTCTTCTTTGTGCAGTGTTCTTTTGGCAGTTTGTGATTTTCCCAACTTTAATCAACTTTTCATCATCTATGAGGTACTTTTACCTTTGTCTTTTTATTTTCTCTTTTGGCCATTTTTCTGGGGTTTATGTTGTGGGTTTGTTGATTTTTTTTGTGGGTGATCAAGTATTTGCTGAATAGAGACTTTTTGGCATGTGGGTTTGTGATTTTCATTGGTCCTGATGGTAAAGTTGTGATCTTTTTGGGTTTTGGTTAGTTTAGTTTTACAGGGACAGTAATGATGGTGATGTCCATTCTTTATTGCTTTGATTTTTATGGAAAATCTTAATGGGTGTTCAAATTCTTGCCGAAAATCACCAGGTTTGCTTGTGGGTTTGTGATTATCTTTGGTCCTGATGGTTAAGTTGTGATCTTTTTGGAGTTTTGGTTGGTTTAGTTCTTACACGGCAAGTAATGATGGTGATGTCCATTCTTAATTGCTTTGATTTTGTGGAAAAACTTAGTGGGTGCTCAAATTCTTGCTGAAAATCACCTGTTTTGCTTGTGGGTGGGTGATTTTCTTTGGTCCTAGTGCTTAAGTTGTGATCTTTTAGGGGTTTTGGTTGGTTTAGTTTACAGGGGAAGTAACGATGGTGATTTCAGTTCTTTATTTATTTAGTTTTCCTGAAAATCTTAATGGGTGTTGAAGTTCTTGCTGAATATCACCTGTGTGGCTTGTGGGTTTGTGAGTTTGTTTGGTATTAGTGTTAAAGTTTTGATCTTTTTGGGTTTTGATTAACTTTTTATCCAGGGGAGGTAATGATTGTTTTTTCTAAAAGTTAATTTGTGTACAATTTCTTGTTGAATATCTTCTTGGATTTGTGATTTTCTTTGGTCCTAATGCTAAAGTTGTGATCTTTTTGGGCTTTGGTTTATTTTATTTCTCAGGGAAGGTAATGATTGTGATGTCAATTATTTGTTTATTTAGGTTTTCTTTGTTTATATGCCTATGAAATTTGATTTTCTGCTATGAGTAGAGTTGACCATATCGAAAAAGTAAATTACATAAACTACTCTTTTCTCTTTTGTCTGGAACTCTTTAAATTCTGTTGTGGGTTAATCAAATTGAGCTATTTGTTAATTTAGTATTAACCGGGATTCTTATTTTAAAAAATTATTTTTTGACGAAGTTGAGAATGATGATTCATCATTTCTAATGTATAAAGTATTGATGATTTAGCATATGTGGAATCTAACTAGGGTTATGTGTTGATTTGGTGTCATTCGACATCTTTTGGCCTTGGCTCGATAATAATGGGAGGTGAAGAATTTATCACCCATGATGGTTTGTGTCTCAATTTTTCTCTTGGAAGGCTTGCTTTTATTCACAAAATAGACTGGTGTGGCAATTTGCTTTTATTGTAAATCTTCTGTATACTTTAAAATGCTTGTTAGGGCACATTGGGTGACACACTTAGGTTGTCGAATTTCGACTTTGATTCAACTCCTCTGCCAACTTCAGTAGTATACTCCTGATGATGTTGGGGAGAATGAGAATATTTAGCTGATTAAGATTTGAAATTTGTTTAATAGATTGTAAATCTGAATCCTACACAAACATCATGTTGGTTTACTGTTGTATGAATTTTCGGACATGAAAATTTGCTCTGTTTACCTTCTTTATGTGCTAGTCCTTGAGGCCTATCTCCGTGAATAATTTCCTATACTACAATGAGAGATGAACTTTAATTCTTAATATAGTAATCTTCCTTTGTTAGTTTGTTCAGTAAGTGCCTGGGAGTCTTTCATGAGAGCTAGGTTTCAATGAAATTTTTGAACATACATTAAGATTATTCACTGCTGCTCTTATTCATTACTATTTGTTGACAACTATTTTTTACTTTATCAAGCGTTATAAGTTATACCTTCCCGAGTTGATAAAAAGATTTCTATCCAATTGGAATTTGCCTTGATTGTGATTTTTACTGCATGAGCTTAAAATTATTGACAGTTTCACCATTACAACTTCCCTTTGTGAAATTAGCCTGTGAGGAAGTTTCATTTTCTTCCTATTTGCAGAAACTGACTAGATGGAGAAGTCTCTAAAGAAACTCATTTCAGATGATTCTGAAGGTAAAGTTATTCCTATAGCTTATAGAAACAGTAACCAGTTTCTGGCACAATTTTCTTGTGTTCTCAACATGTTGATGTGTTTCGGTCTTTTGCTTATCTAAATAGTTCCATCAGCAAAGACTTCTGGTACAGAGAGGAATGCTTGGAAAATTCACCTCGGAACAGCTGCACATCATGCATCAACTGATGCAAGCTTGTTTTCTAGCTCGCTGCCTGTTCTGCCACATGCAAAATGTATGTTTAAGTTTCTTCTCTAAGCTTAGTATCTTCATTCAATTAGAGAGATCCCTTTTGACTCATTTGTCCAATTTGCAGTAAACTTCGCTGAATCTGAGAACTACAGTCACTCCACTGATGATAGCTCACCTAGCTTAAACAGATTTCATTTAGAAGATGAAATTAAAGACCCACTGGAAGTGGAACCAAGTCCAGATGGGTGTTTTCTCCCTGGGGATGAAGATGAGCTACTAGCAGGCCTAATGGATGATTTTGATCTTAGTGGGTTGCCAACTCAGCTGGAGGACTTGGAAGATGATTTTTTTGGCAGTGGCGGAGGACTAGAATTGGAATCTGACACTCTTGATAATTCACTTAATGGATTTGCAAAATTAAGCATGTCTGATGGTATTCTTGGAAGTATTGTTGGACACCATGTCTTCCCAAACAGTGCTGGAACTGTTACGGGAGAACACCCGTATGGAGAGCATCCTTCTAGGACACTGTTTGTTCGGAATATTAACAGCAATGTAGAGGACTCCGAGCTGCGATCTCTCTTTGAGGTTATATTTTAACTACATGTATTCTTTATGGTCATGTCTGTTATTAGCTATCCCTTCTGTGGTCTCCCTTATTGCCGTTAATATAGTCACTAGTCACTACTGATTCTGTTTGTTCCCGAGGGAAATTTGGGAACATTATATGCTTGAACATTGTACCTATTATACACTTTGTCTAGAAGTAATACTGACCTTTTATATAATTGTTTTTTCCTTGAAGCAATATGGTGATATCAGAACTTTGTACACTTCATGCAAGCATAGGGGCTTTGTGATGATATCTTACTATGATATCCGAGCTGCTCGAACCGCAATGCGTATGCTGCAACATAAGCCTCTAAGAAGGAGAAAGCTAGACATTCATTTTTCAATTCCTAAGGTCAGAAAAATGACAATGTTCATTCTTAACTGTTAGATATGTCAATATTTAAGGGGCAAATTTTTAACTATTATCATTTATTGTGCATCCAGGAAAATCCATCGGAGAAAGATATTAACCAAGGAACACTGGTCATTTTCAACTTGGATCCTTCAGTATCCAATGAGGATCTCCTCCAAATATTTGGGGATTATGGGGAAGTGAAGGAGGTACAACTTTGCCAAATTATTCACTTTGATTTTTTGTGTTTATATGCAACATTGAACGTGCTTATGACGAACTTGGTTGCTCATGTTGCATGGCAAATGTAGATAAGGGAGACACCGCATAAGCGCCATCATAAATTCATTGAGTTTTACGATGTTAGAGCAGCTGAGGCTGCCCTCAAGGCTTTAAATAGAAGTGACATAGCTGGTAAGCGGATCAAGCTTGAACCCAGCCGACCCGGTGGAGCCCGTCGAAGGTATGTCCTTAGTCTTCTCTTAATGGAACCTTTTGATGAACTTTATTAGCTAAATTACCCTGTACTGTTGCTTGTGGACATTCATACGTGCCAAAAATAAATAGAACAGAAGAAGTGGAATATTAAGGGAGAAAAAGGAAAAAGAACTCCCATGGTAGGATTTTATGGATCTGTGTGTGTTGATTGGTGAGTAAAATTTGTTTTTTTTTACGTTCTTCTGGTAGTATTTATCAGACTGTTGACTTTTGATGCCTCTAATTACGAGTCTTTATTTGTAATGGTCAATATTTGGTAGAATTTTATGTTGTATTCGGGTTTGGTTTTTTCTTTCTGTCACATGGTAGACAAGGTTTTATACATGAATTGTATTTCCCTATTAGAAGGATAACGGGTGAGGGAGTTGTTCTATGCTGCTATTTGTGCTCTCTCTCTTCATGTTTGCTATGTAATTGCAAATAGGTGATGCATGTTGATGAAATCATTGTGAGAAGCTTGGTTGAATTCCTTGATAACGTGTCAGTCAGTGTAACTCAATCCATGCCCTTCTCCTTAGAAATTTGTTATTATTATTGCTCTTTATCTATAGATGCTCAGTCATTTGTGTGGATTACGATGCAATTTTGATTTACTTTAAGAAGAAATATTGATGGTTTTGCATCCAATGTATAGCTTGATGCAGCAACTTAGTCAAGACTATGAACATGAAGAAGTTCGAACATTTAGGCACTCAGTTGGTTCTCCAATCGCCTCTCCTCCAGGTAATTTCATTTTCATAAATGACTCATGCTAATCACGGAGAGTTCATGTGATGAGCTAAAATTGATGTTTCATCCAACAGGCAGCTGGTCAAACTTTGGCAGTCCTGTTGAGCACAGCTCATTGCTAGGTTATAATCAATCACCTGATATGACAAATCTCAGCCCTGTAAATGGCAACCATATGCCAGGGCTGGCTGCTATTCTTCCTGGCCATTTTTCAAGTCCTAAGATTGCACCCATTGGTAAAGATCCAGGACGATTTGGTTCTCTGAATCATGCAATTACTAGTCCCAAGTCAGTGCAAGGAATGGGTTATCAGCAATCTTATTCAGTTCCTGAGCATAAACCACATTTGAACTTTGGATCTATGTCGCTTGGTGAGCCTAAGTCATCTGGGATTGGGACACTTTCTGGCCCACAATTTCTATGGGGAAGCCCCCCTATTCAGTCAGAGCGTACAGACTCTTCTGTCTGGTCAAATTCATCATTGGCACATCCATTTACATCAAATGAGCAAGGGCAAGGCTATCCATATTCCCGTCGACAGGGCTTGTTCCTCGGATCACATCATGTGGGATCTGCTCCATCAGGAATTCCTCTGGATAGGCGTTTGGGTTTTTTCTCGGAGTCTCCTGAAACCTCATATATGAACCAAGTTGCATATGGTAGTACAGGTTCTAGTCATTGTCATGGTATGAGTATAGGTCGCCTTGGGGCAATGAACATGGCTGGTTCTCTTGCTCGGAACTTTACTGAAGGTGGTTCTCCTATCTCTAGAATGATCCCACTGCCTAGGAACGGGCCTATATTTTTCGGAAATGGCTCATACGGAGGAATAGGAATGACCAACAATGAAGGGATAACCGAACAAGTTCGAAGTCGAAGAGTTGAGAGTGGAAATGAGATAGACAACAAAAAACAATATCTGCTTGATTTAAAGAAGATCACGAGTGGAGAAGATGCTAGGACTACTTTAATGATTAAAAACATCCCAAACAAGTAAGAGCCATATAAATTCTGAATTAGCAAATTTTGAATTTGTGTGATTGTTCAATGCTCGATGATTCGTCTTCTTCCATTTGTTTTAGGTATACCTCAAGGATGCTACTCACAGCAATTGACGAGACTCATAAGAATACATATGATTTCCTCTACTTGCCTATTGACTTCAAGGTAGTACTGTATATTTCTTTATTATGTCTTCACATCTTCTGAAAAAAATTATATTTGAAGGCATTAACTTATTATTATGGTTTTGCTGCTTCAGAACAAATGTAATGTTGGTTATGCCTTCATTAACATGGTGTCTCCTTCACATATCATTTCCTTTTACGAGGTTAGTTATTCTTTTACAATACCACTATCCTAATGGTTGTAGAGTTGTGCGGTGTGTGAAAGTACATTTTGTATATATTAAAGAAAAAGAGTACATGTTGTACCAGCCTAAAGTTTGTGTGGTGGATGATCTGTAACCATCTTCGTAAGCTGAATGTGGTTTTTACTCGCTAAAAAATTCCTTTATCATAGTTATTAGTTGAAATGACTTGGTCTGAGATACTGGTGCAGGTATTCAATGGGAAGAAGTGGGAAAAGTTCAACAGTGAAAAGGTTGCCTCCTTGGCTTATGCGCGTATCCAAGGGAAGGTAGCCCTGGTTGCTCATTTCCAGAACTCAAGCCTAATGAACGAAGACAAGCGGTGCCGGCCAATTCTTTTCCAGTCAGAAGGTCAAGAAAGAGCTGACCAGGTATTGAATCTTTATAGAAATGATTGCATATTCTCGAGTTAAATCAACTTTGTTGGGTTGAAACCCCAGCGAAAATATAATGTTGATCCCCTTCGTCAAAATTATTGTCTATTAAGTCGTGTTATCATTCAAAATGATGTCTTGTTTTCGTTTTTCTCTAGGAACTGTTGCCAACCAACAATCTGAACATTTGTGTTCGTCTGCCTGATGGATCATATTCTGGAGATTCTCTGGATAGTCCAAATAGTGATCTAGATGAGAAGCTCTACATGCACTAAGAGATCGGCTGACTCGTAACTATGATAAATGGTGGCAATGAGTTCTAACTGTGAATAGGAATAGTAGTACATAATAACGTATTAAGTCGGACATCCCATATAATGTTGTGTCTGCTAGGCAGTGTCTTGCTTTTTGATCAAACGACACTCCACAACATGCGGATGGCAAAAATGTTACCGAAGCAGAGAGCATTTTGTTTGTACCTTGAGTGATGATAATTGATGTTTTATCCTAGGGGAGTTTGATAAAGTGAAGCATTCAGGCAACATGTGAAGTCTCTCTGCTGTTGATAATGCTTTGCTGCTATAATTGTATAGAACCTCTTTTTTTACTTGTTTGTTTGTCTTGTATACTTGTGGTGGGTTTGTTTTACCACATAGTATACATGTTTTTAGAGTGTAATGGGACTGTCTCCAAGTGTTTAATATGGAATACAGACCCTGCACTTTTTTATGGATTTCACTTCTTTGCTGACTTAATGAAGACAACTGTTGTAATTATAACTTGAATGTGCAGTTAAATTGTGCTTACTTATTTCATTAACCCTTTAGTTTTTTCTGATCAGATATCAGTTTCATGCTGTGAATGCTACGATGCGTTTCTGGATAAGACAACACATGTTAGAAACTAGTGAGAATGCAAGTTGTGGTTGTGCATCAGTTTGACATAGTGAAAATGTTATTACAATGGGACTTAGCATATGAGAGGTTTCTCTTACAAGGGTAAATGCTTGCTCAACTTTTTAATAGTCATATAGATGTTGTAGCAAACAGTGATCTCAGGTTTGAAGTGCATCAGCTATTGATCCTGCCAAGCTGATAACTTCAAAAGGAGCTTTATTAGCTATGGCTTTCACTGTGACGGGACACGAATCCGTGATCCAAAAGTATGTGAATGCCTTCTCTGAGCCTGAGCGCGAAGAGCGTATTGGAAAGAGTCAGAAAACTAGGTAACTTTAAAGGAGAGAACTAAAGACAGATAGAAATACAGTAGTTAATTACCATCATTCTTGTGCAGAAATTGCTCCCATGACCGCTTTGGAAAAACTCCGTGGGTCACGTAAGCACTAACCTTTGCTGCACCATGAGCTGCCAAAACTTTCTGGTGAAGCAAAAAGGCCAAAGATACAAAGCATTATGGTGCCAGAAATACTGATATAAGTAAAAAGTAAGCACAATGCGCTCATTTTGTTTTTTTAAGATGTGAGATCCAATATTTTAAACAACTCAGAAAGAGTTAATTGGACTAGCTGATCCCAAAAGACAAGTCATGAGGGTGTAATCGCATCACAAAGGGATCCCATAACCTAAACGCGTGTGCACACACACACACACTACCTCCCCCCCTTCTGGTTGGACATGTTGGGAGCTTCAATATTGCCTTCTCCAAATAGTGATGCTTGCCATATATTCTTACCTTTAAACAGTCAGTCCCATAACTGTTGAGGAATATTTATCAGTGTCTATTTATAAACTTTTGAAGCTGAAAATCGTAAGTTGACAGGTCTTGGAGAAACAAATGGTTGGTTTAACTTCACAAGCTGAGAAGGATAAATTACCCAAAAATGAAGTGGGTAGAGAAAACATGGGATGTAGCTAAATAAACAGAAATTAGCATGTACACAGAATTTGAACAAACAAAAACATATTCCTACTGCTAAACAAAATCAGGTAACAAGGGACAAGAAGCAATCAGAAAATTTATGCAATGAACATAATAACACCTCTTCAAACATTTCTGTAAATATAAAATAAGGGAAGGAAGAACCAGAGTTCTATACGACTGCTTCACAACCCTAGAACTAAAGAAGATAGACACTGGACGAACAGTAAGAACTAAAATCATCATAAGGTTCAAGTGATGCAAATTTGAGGACTCAAACACAATAATCAGAACATTTGTACATTTAAGAAGCAGGATTACCTGGCATTCAATCAGGGTACCTCCAGATTGGACCAAGTCATCAACAATGACCACATGACAGCCAGCAGGATCACCCTCTTTAAGCCTGACTATTCTCTTATCATCCTCCCGGACTTTAGTGCAAATTACCTAGGAGAAGAAATCTACTAAGTTCGAGATGATATCAGGTAGTAGAGAGAAACCAAAGGAAATGAGTTTCTATTATTTACTAACAGCAGGATAGTGGCCCAATTGCTTGTAGAACCGTTTCCAAGCTCCATCATCAGGAAAGGCTATCACTATCTGGAATTAAAAAACTGTTAAGACGTGACTACTTACTGGACAAATAGTCATATTTAATATGGTAAGTCCTCATCTTGAAGAAACTAGGATAAATATATTTAACATCAAATCTGTCCACCTTCTCAGATTCTGGAAGTTGCTGAAGGCGTTGCTTCAACAGTGGGATTCCAGTCTCAAACAGAGGCAGAACCTGGTCTCCAAAATAAAACCTCTCCTGCAGAAACATAGACACATGAACATAAATATTTCGAGAAGCATTTGAGCTAAGAACACATTACGAGGCCAGTTGGTCTTATCAGCCTAACTTTGGAAGTATCGGGAAGCATAGAAAAGCAAACTAGCGAAAAGACACTATCTCTTGCAAAGGTCAATTAAAGAATCTAAGATACAAGTAGCCTAAGCAAACATGTTAACGCAGAGCACAGATGACCTAAAATTATGTGAAAGAAGTGAAATTAACCTGCAATGCATGGATGTCATAGACAACTACACTGGTTGGACCACCTCTTGAGATTGGAATGTTTGATAGTATTCTAGCCATGGTGAATGCAGTAGCCACATCTCCTTCCTCTTCCATCCGTTCAAAGGATCCAGTTGGAAAGAATGGCAATACAAGCGTAAAAGACGCGACAAACAGCCTCGGAAGAGCAAAAATCACAGAAAGTTGTTCAAAGATGACTGCTGGTGAGCTGAAAGATGCCAGAAAAGCAACATGCTGCCCACGGATATTGTGTGCTTTGTTTATGAAGAGATTTGGAAAACCATCGTCGAAACTCCTGGAACATGCACAAATATTTGTTAGCTTTGTCCCAAAAAGAATTAACGCAAACTATTTTACAAGTATCAGCATCGTTTGTAGGTCCATCAGTATACAAGGTAGATAAGTCTTAAGTATATGCATTGCCGATTGATCATTATTTGGTCTCAGTAACTAAGTGGGCAGGAATTGAAGTCTTGAACTAACTTTGTAAACAATAAACAACTAACTACCTTTCCCCCCTCAAAGATACGCACAACAACATACCCAGTGTAATCTCACAAGTCACAGGTGGGGTCTAGGAATGATAGAATGCATGCAGACCTTACCCCTACCTTTGAGGTAGAAAAGCTGTTTTCGATAGACCCTCCGCTCAACAGAATCTCAGCCACAAGTAACACTAATTTGGGTCTGAGGCAGTTGATGTTCATTACATTGAAAGATCTCATCAAAGTTGTTTTCCCCAAGTCTTGCTAAGTCATTTCTCAGTGAAACTTTACTAGTGAATGCGTCAATGTTTGATTAGGAAAATGTAATTGGAAAAATTAACTTTCACTTTTCCAGCACTATTTAGAGTAGATTATTCTTTAGTCAAGATCACGATTCCAAACACCATTTAATACGACAACATCTTCTATGTCAACAAAAACTGTATCTCAGTCACCAAAGAGTAGCTTCAAATACAACAACGGAGAATTTTGATTCCATTTCCTCTATCACTTAATCTTTTGAAGCAAATTATATGTAACAAGGATTTGAACTTAAGGTATGTGGAAGAATTATAATAAACACACAAATTCAACACCTCGGTATTAACTTAATAGCTAGTGTTTGTCCATAGATTTTGGACTGTTTGGCCATGAAATTATACTTTCGAGTTCCCAAAAACTGGTTCAAACCAATTTTTGGGTTTTCGGAACTTCCGCTCACAAAACTTCAATTTGTTTACACGCAAAATGCAATTTCAAATTCCAAAAATCACGAACTTCAAAAACTCAAATTTTCAATTTTCAACTTCGAAATCTATGTACAAACAACCTGTTTAAGCTTTTATAAATGACACAGCACAGTTCAGCTGAGTGACAAGAAGAAATGAAAAAGGGGAATTTTGTTTTTGTTTACCTCCAGTTAATGGAATGTAGGTGAATGCAGTCAGAATCAGAAGCGATTTTGCGAGCAACATCTTCCATTTCAACACAGTAGTATAGAAGCACTTGCTTCTTAGTTAACGTACCGTTCTCCATCGGAAAATTTACAGTCCAAACGCCGGCGACTTTCTGCCTCAGAGAGCTTTTTTCTCACTTTTGCCGGCAACAGTGCCGCGCACTGTCTGCTGCTTATTTAAAGTATGCCTTTTTGGCGTGAAATGTGGATTTTGGTGACCTCTTGTTTTATTAGCAATTTTTTTTTTTAATTCTACACAATCTTTCCTTTAATTGGGTGTGTTTAGTATGAAAAAAAATATATTTTTATGAAATGCGTTCTCCCTTTGTCCTCTTATTCATTTCGTTTTTCGAAAGTAAAACAATTTAAGTTTGATTGAAAATTTACTAATGGAACCTTCAATTTTTTGAAATGAAATATATTTGTAAACTACATAAATAATATTATAAGTCACAATAATTGACAATTCAAAATATTTAAAAGATGTATAAATTTTTTACGTACGATCAAATATAGACTTGTTTGAATCTTGAAATTCAAAATGTATCACATAAATTAGGACAAAAAGAGTACTTTTATTGGACAGTTAATTTGAACAATATTTGAAATTAAATTAATATTTTAAAAATAAAAATTTAGATTTTGAAATCATGTAAAAAAAGTTGTATAAATTATGATTTTCTCATATTAATATGACAAAAAAAACTTTTTAAAATATTAATTATAAACAATTACGAAAAGAGAAAAATGTCAATTACTATTGGAGAAAGATTTTTTGGTATTTGATAAAAAAAACAAAAAAAATATCATATATTTATATATAATTAAAGCAAACGTTATGAGAATGGATATATTTTGGAAGGCGGGAGTGGATGAATTGCGTGGAGTGTGGGTTGGGTCGGGGTGGGGATGACAAAAGGTACTTCTTAAAATATTGGTCAAAATTTATGTAATTTGAATTTTGATAAGCGAAAAATGATAGTAATTACTTTGGGATGGAATGATTTCCTGGCATTTGATAGAAAAAACAAAAAAAAATTATATAAAAAGTATTCATATATAATATAGATAAACGCTACGAGAATAGCTATGTTTTGGAGGGCGGGTGTGGATGAATTTGGGTCGGAGGGGGTGGGGGAGAGAAAATTAATCATAGTGCAATGCTATTTATGAAACTTATTTTTCTATATTCTATATACCCGAAAAGTCATTTCAGGAAATTTTCAATTCCTACTTATCAAATGTCTTTGAAATCATTTTTTTATTTTATAAATGATAAAGCAAAACGACTTTCTTCTGCACAATATTCACGCTAATTCAATCAGTCAACTAGCCATTGACTAATTTGTAAAAAAAAAAACACTTCATAATATTTTTTTAATT